CACTGAGATAGTTGGATTGTGATGCAAAACACATGTAACATAAAATATGGCTGAATCCGAACTATTTTATTGAATTATTACGCAATGTAATTAGGCATCAAATTGTAGAACAAAATCGAATTAAGTAAGGCATTACAATTCCGGAAAGATATAACAGAGATGACATCTGTTATTCTCTCAGTTTTGTTCTGCATTTTATTATCTTTCTTCACATATCTCAATCAAATCAAAATCAAGTCGCATAACATGTTGTGGAGAGGGAGTTATACATGTTACGTGTATATTACATATTATTTTTTGTTTATTGTGCAACTTTGTGGCCAGCACTTACGTAAAGCCTGATGTTTATGTAGACCTTAGAAAATGTGTTATACATTATCAAATTTTGCATATTTCTTCAAAATGTGCTTTGTCAAAATCTATTACATGTATAAGTCGTGTAAAGCGGACATGAATTCTAAAAACGCAACAATTTCATCTATGTACGACTTGTTTCATACCAAGTATAACCATATTCCGCGATATTTCTTTCAGATACCTTGTTAGACTGATATTGCCTGTCTTTACCGTACGAGGAAAAGACAGGTGATCACCGCCATTAAAGCCAGGAATTCCTGGCTTGAGTGACGCGCCATCTATCGCCGCTGCTCTACGATACAGCATGGGATATAATCACACAATAAGCGATCTGCTGACTCAGAGGGTCAGCTTTAAACCGATTTATGTTTCCTGCGGTAATTAAAATATATCAATTCTAATAAACAAAACTAGTTTGCAGAGTTGTTGCAGTTCTATTTTATCCAATTAATGTAGTATGGCATGTAATATGTGATCAATAGGGGCTTGCTGATCTGTTATATCACGCCTGAAAATTTAGAATAAATTCAGCGAAGTGAAATGTCTTGTACATAGGCCTAGTATGAAATGTTAAAACACTCCTGTAAAACAAAATTCTGAAAAAAAAGAATATTTGTATTGTATGTGGAAATATTAGTGGCCGTGAACTAGATTAATTGAATCAAAAGCAAATACAGATATTTCTCCTATATATTAATACTGTCTCCTTAATTTGCGGATTGTTCCTCTATGATGGAATTCAGTGGTGAAACAATTACAATCTTTGTATCAAATATTTTTGGCGGCACCTCGTAAATCAAACTTTTTCCGTAGCCCGTCGGTAAAACAACCACGGTATCGTTATTTAAAGCACTTTTAATACTTCTTCTTTGCAAAGGCTTTAGAAAATTTAATGCTGAATATCTTTCACAATTTACTTCTGCCACTGCAATTTTCGTACGCAAAGAAAACTCGAGGTAACGATAATCATCCATAATATAGCACTCTATGATCTGTTTTGGTTTCCCGAGGTATTTAAATTCTACGTCAGCGAGAGTTTTCATCAGCCAATGAGCGCGGCCGGTAGAGGGCTCTTTACATTACTGATCACCTGTCTGTATATCGGATATCAGACAAGCAGGCCAGTCTAATACCTTGTCTTATTGTAACGATATATACCCCCAATGCGCTCGTTACACTTGAATAATTTTTTGGGCTTGGCAATCGACTTGTCCACATCCTTAATGATATAATAAAGAATTTAAGAACATTTCGAGTTGATCAAGATATTTCAAGGCCACAACAAATAACACAGTAATTGTTTTTCTGAATGATTTTTTCAAAAAATATTTAATAATTAATTTTAAATCAAATGTAAAAAAAAAAGAAAGAAAATGCAAGTTTGGAAGAAAAATTTAGTTGCACGAGTACGTATTTTTACAGTGCGCCAAGTTATGCAGAATAAACATGAAAAAAAGTAGTAAAATCTGTAAACACCCCTTGAAACTATTATCATTTGAACTGAACGAAAAAACCATCGTCTCTGATTTGCAGGTTTTATGGTGTTGATGCATGTCGAGAAATCGCGTCGAATGCTGTAAACGTACCCATACCTGGTAATAAAGTCACTTCATCGGTTTGAAGATGTGCAGAGGTCAAGTGATTTTCATCCAGAATTCTATTTACTGAAATATGCATCACAAAAAAACTCAATAGTAAACATACTGTCACTACTCCAGCACGTCCATACACTAAGTCAGTGCTGATCAACATGTATTTCATATTTGTGCCCCTGAAAGGGGGTTGTAACTAAAGTATTGTAACCGCTGTTCATAGTGTATAACTGAAAAGTGTCTATCTATTTCTAAATTACATTCCATATAGACTGTGATTGTTTTATTTGAATCGCAAAATTCATCTGTCAATTACAACGGATTATTTTAGTACTAATCTCAAATCTAAACCATGTAATTTGATTTATGGGAATTACTTAAAAACAATTGATCAGAATACAAATTGTTATGTGTATATTTGAACGTTATTTAACATATACTCGAAGATATACCATCTCGTGTTTAGATTGAATTTTTAATCGGGGTGGGGGGGGGGGTGGGGGTGGTAGAAATAATTAATATGCCCGTTGTCTAAATATTTTCAGAAGACGGACATTTCTGCAAAATCTAATTTTTAGATTTTTTAAATGTCACTCCGACCACAGAGTATGTACATTTTGAGGATTGTGACTATTTTATAATTACGTATCTACAGGAAGCCTTTCGAGATTACAGTATCCCTGCCTGGCAGTCTGATTTTGTTTTTATAAAAATAATTTCTTGTAGGAATATTTGAGTGAAAATTTTAAAATCTAGGTAAGAGATACTTGAATTCAGCTGGTTAAATACGGATAATGATTATTATACTCTTTTGCACATTGAACACGAACTCTCTCTCCAGTAACCATCCGTTAGTGGGTATTAAATGAAAATTTATTCATCCGAATTTGTACAAGGGGTTCGTTAAATATTGATTTCATTTCTGTTATCAGGAAATCTAGGAACTAAAATTGTCCATTAACAAAAGAATATTAAAATCTTAGATTTTCATTGAGTTATTGGAATAAAATAATGACTTAGTATTGATTTGATTTTTTAAAACACACATCTTGTTATTTATCATTATTTACTATGACAATGACAATGACAATGAATTTATTCTCATAAACTGACATAAGTACAGTGTTGAGAAAGATTACAAGTATAGTTAAACATATGTGCATGCGTGAAAAAGAAAAAAGTACAAAATAACAAAACTAACAATGAGCTAACCAGGAGAGCCAACTCTCTCAAAAATAATTTTTATAAATTTACACAGTTTTGTCAATTTAACTGTATTTTTTGTATTAAAAAGTTGATCAAACTTATACACATTTGGATGTGAATAGTAATATTTTGATAATAATAATAACCTTGAATTCAAAATAAGTGAATCATTACAATTAAATAAGTAGTGAAATTCATCACCAATTTCATTTTTGGAACACAATTTACAAATTCGGTTTTCTCTTGGTACATTATGCCATCTTCCAACTTCAATTGGTAATTTATTATTACAAGTTCTAAACTTACAAAATATTTTCCAGTGCTTAAAAGGCAAAGATACTAAATACTTTTCTAGACAAAATGAAGTTTTATATATTCTACAAGTAACAGCTTTTTAAAAAGCTTGCCTGACTTAATCAATCAATTTATCAGCATGAGGAGTGATAAACCTTTTGACCATTAATACTTTTGTAGGTTTAAAACATATCCTAACTTAAAGAGCCTGGGTGATCGTGGCCATTTTTAGACTATTTCTATCTCCTTTAGAAGAAGACCTCCATTTAAAGATATACAAAAATGATCAAATTTTAAAACCAATATGTAAGAAATTTTTCTTTGTCAAATGATAGTTGACAGCTAAAGATATCATATCTGAAAATCTAAGTTATATCTGGTGGTTAATTTTTTGTTAATTTGATGACCCCCCAGCCTCCTTAATATTTTGAGAACCTTGTGTAATTGATGAAATCTTGATTTTGTTTAACTTGTAGAAGAATCATCTCTACATTTCATACTAAAGAGTTGTTATTCGGCGGGAGGGGGGGGGGGGTCTGCCCTTGGGTCTAAATCCTGTTATAAAATCTGTCATCAAATCATGCATTGTAAACATTTTAAAAGATGGATATGATTAAATACACATTTTGTTGGAGTGTATTTTCTCCTCTGAAGTAAACAGTAGTAATGTGTGTTCATTATTTTTTGTTTTCTTAAAAAAAGGGGGGGGGGGGGTAGTGACACTATCATATATTGAGAATGAAATAAGTAAATTCAATATTTAGGCCTTTTTGGAAAGAAAAATCCTAGATTTTTCACTGCTTTCTTATTTATTGTGTGCATCTGAACAGAGACATATAATAGATCATGCATCACGAGACGATGACTTGAACTGCATTGTTTATTATTATTGGGCTAGTCCATTTATGGAATAAACCAACCCCGGGATCGGGAAACAAATTAGAATCAAAGTACTGAGACAGTACTGAAAGACGGGGTCAAAATAATCTTCATGCTAGATTTCACAAATGTGATTTTTTTTACGAGTTTTAATAACAACTTTATTTTTTCATTAACATACTGAAAACAAAACTATGAATAATATACATTCACATTTTTCATTTAATTTGATTTGAAATAGAAATTTTAATAATTGCTCAGTCTGGAAACCTTTCTGAACTGCTCCGAATTTCATCAGGTACGAACTAATAACTTTTCCGGAAGTAAACAATGGATGATGCGTACACAGTCATAATAATACGCAGGATAGTACTTTGTCTACTAGTGTTATTTACAGTTAATATTTTCAGTTTTAAATTATCAAAATACTTTATTAGTTGAGTCAGACAAAGGTTCATATCAATTTCTTCAGTTTGATACAGAATGTTTATGTTTTGATCGAAACAATTTCTGCACTCTTTCGTATGCGTAGATTTAATTCATGTGTTATCACCACGGCTTCTGTTTTCTATTTTTAGGCCTCTGAGAGTAAACTAAAAGACGGGGTCACGTGACCCCGTCTAAAAATCATTTCTTTAGTGTTGCATGCCCATATATACTGAAGTATATAATATGTTGAACAATACCACGTGTAACCACATCAACGGTACATGTCCAGGAGGGTGTTCAGTAGGATACCACGGGCTTCTTTGTACAAATGGTATAAAATAATTATATGTAATATTTTGTTTTGTTTGTTTGTCTGTAGTTTCTTTTTCATTTCATCTTTTTATGCTTTGTATATTATTTTTGTGTCCTGTGCTGTCGGTAAACACCTAGTTATGTTTTTTTCAGTTTGATCTACCGGGTGACAGTGAGATTGATTCACCGGGTGACCTGAAAGTTCTTTAACCTTTTAATTTCTTGTAGTTTGTGGACGATCGTACTGGGGAGTTAATTGCAAAGAGACATGTAGTACAGAATGTGTCAGAAAGACCTGTCATCACGAATCAGGACATTGTATATCATATACACAGGTAATGTAATTAATAAAACATACGAAGGGCATGACAAAATAAAATGATTCTTTTTTAAAAAAACTTAATGAAATAATAAATTTTAAGTTGCATTTTTCTAAAGTTGAAATCGATTTCATTTTATTATAAATACAAAATTTTATCGCAAATGCTCTACATTTAAATTGTAGCCTTCTTTTATCCACATTAAGCAGGCACAAAGTTGCTACACATGTAAGAATGACTACACAATAACCATTACAAGTGTGGTGGTCTGTATTTTAATTGTTTTGATAAGCAGTTTCCTAAACCTTATTATCTGGAGGAAAATGCAGCGTACGTAAATGTTTTAATTCTATTTTGTCATTTATGTGTTTTTTTAACATTTCAAAAAATTTAAAACATATTCCATTTCTGTTTTTTTTTAAGTTAAAAAGTAATAACTTATAACACATATGATATGTTAGAAATACAAAAATTGAAAGACGTGTTATAACGAAAGCGTTAAATATTGGTACTTGATAAGACATCTTTTTTAAAAAAAATAATCCTTCTGTTATGAATTCACTCTTCTTTTACAGAGAAAGGGAAAATTTTAGGCACCACAAATGACAAGGACTATTACAACGAATTCCCATTAGTTGATATAGGAGGTATGATAAAATATACACATGTAAATGGCATTTTTATAAAATGAACACTGTAATGAGAACAAAGTTAACGGTGAAATTCAATGGTGTTCAACTCGATGCCTACAATATTAGTTGAAGTAAAAGTAACATCCAACCAATGCCACTGTACTTGAAATCATCTTATTAAAATGTTAAAGCTAATGCTATGTTTAAAAAAAACTCCATTTCATTCATTCTTGGGTAAGAATTATATAATTGGTTTGCATATGACCAGGGCTGTTGGGAAAATGTTTAAGAACTAAGAAGTGTATGTAAAGCATTTGTTAACAAATGAAATGTCGATCACATTACATGTAAAAAAAAAAAAAACTTTATCAGGGAGGTAGTAATTTTTAAGCTTATATTTTTCAGATAAACAAAGTGGGCAAGATGTGTATGTAATGTTTTCTTCACGTATATACTGAACTTTTTCAATTTACTTAAAACCTCTTCCAGGATTGATTTCTTACTATATTTTTTAATCTGACAGGGACATTTCGCCTTATGCAGAACTTAGAGAACTTGACCACCCAAACACGTATGAACAAATCCATAAATATGCAAAAGCAGACGAAAAAATGTAAATGGTTGCGTTGATGATGTTTACATTTTAATGAAGAACTCAGAATTATTTGTAGCTTTGCTTACATAGACATTTCTCATTGTTTTATGTCTACACATATTTTCGTTTCTTATTGAGAGGACATGTTTTATATACTATCAGTTTTGTTTTTTTCACCTTCACATATCTCAACCACAATCAGAATCCAATCGCAGAACATGTTGTGGCGAAGGTGATATATATTTAACATTACTTACGTTCATATGTTTAGGTACAATATTGTGCTCAACATTGATGTTTAACCTTACCGCATGTACCCAAAAATATTAAAATTTGCAAATTTCTTCACATGCGTTATGTCTTATCATCTTATATGTTAAAAGTAATTGATTATTGGTTTTTTGTACACATCTCCACGGAATCCTATCACAACATGTTTTGGGGGAAGGAGGTAATATTAATTGTAATGTCCAACGGTTTATATGCAAGCCTTATTGCAACCTTTACCTTGTCCAAATTATTAAAATTCTTCATATTGTATTTCGTATCAGCTTACAATGTGCTAGATGTATATAATAAATACATGTACATTGAGTGTATAATCTTCTTCCATTTTGTATTCATTAAGGATAAGTTAATTTCAAGGTCTTACATCTTTTCTCTGATTTTTTATTCAGTCTAGCAAATTAATATATATTGTTTTAGCAATACATTCAGACCAATTATTATAACATGCTACACAATATATTTTTCCTTTTTTTTCAATTTAAGAATTTGAGATGTGTTGGAATTTCACATATCCACGACTAAAATAAAATAAAATTCCACCATATGGCATGCTAACAGAAAGAGTGTGCAATAATTTTCTTAGCATTATTTAATTGCTGAGACATCTGTAACAGAAATTTAGTCCAGATACACACAGGGATTAAGTGGATGTTGACATTGGATTCAAACAAATATGATTATTATAATTTAACATGCCCAAAGATTGTCTTCATAATTTCATGCATTTCTATTACGAATATGCTTAGAAAACTGCTACAGAACTTTAGAAAGGGCAGACACGGATAAACAGAAAGTTGATATGGGAGCTGTACCTGAAACCAACCAAATATCATACTTGAGCAAAGACTGATCTTAAATTTTAAGCATATGCGAAAATACAAAAAAAAAATTAGAGTGACAAAAGTTGTTTTGAACAGTTTAACGGGAATACAGACAGCCACGCTAGGTATTTTTGAAGGATGGGGAACCA